GAAATAAATAACAAAGGGTAGATCCATGATAGCAAAATGCAGTGAGTAATTTTGGAGCAGGAAACAATTGATATACATTACAATACACATTATTGAAACAATTGGTGAAATGTAAATATAAACACATTAGATAATAGTATTGTATCAATCAATGTTAAATACTTAATTTTGACTATTGTATTATAGTCACATAAGAGTGTCCTTTTTTAGGAAATACACACTGAGGTATTTAGGGGAAAGAAGCATATTTGTACCTTACTCTTAAACAATGGTTCAGTGGGTGAGTGTGTGTGTCTGTTTGTGTGTGTGTCTGGAGACAGTGTGCACATGTGAGCACAAATGATTAAGCAAATGAAGGCAAAATGTTAACAATTGGTAAATCTGGATAAAAATAAAATGCACACAGGACTTCTTTTTTACTATATTCATGCAAATTTTCTGTGTTAGCATTATACCAAAATAAGAAGTTACCAAAAAAAGATAACTCAAAAATATTCCCATGTAATTGGAAGCAATATTATAAAATCATACATTACATGGGAATATTTTGGGTTAGTAGCATTATTAAATAACATGAATTTAAAAAGTAATGAAGAAACCAAAGAAATACATAGAACTGAATCTAAATAAAATAACATGAAAAAAATACGTTGGAAAGCAGAAAGTAGTCCTTAGGAGGAAATGTAGCTCTTCAAAATCAACATGTCAGAAAACAAGAAAGCTTATCACCAAGCCAGCAGGGAATTTACCATTTTTTTCCTCCTCGTTCTTCTGCCACTTGGCTGTAGACGAGAGTGTAGCCATGAAAGTGCCCCAACTTTCTGGATATAGGAACAGAAAAGGGAGTTCCAGGAAGGTAGAAAGTACCAGGGAAATCAGAAGAGGAATGAGCCCAGGAAAGTGAGCCCCTAACATTGTTTATGAACCTCTGAGCTCCCCCTTGAGCTGCATATGCTGGGTCTGAGCCTAGTCAGCATGTAAAAGACTTTGAGAGGCTGGGCACGGTGGCTCACGCCTATAATCCCAGCACTTTGGGAGACGGAGGTGGGTGGATCATAAGGTCAGGAGATCCGAGACC